TTCAAGTAGGTATTGAAATACAATGCAGTTTGAATGATGTGTCGACCCGGTGCATGCAAGAGAAATGAATGATGCATGCATGCAAGCATAAGATATGCTAATCAAAATATGCCCTAAACTAACCATCGAAAGTGGTTAAATAAAAGGGAGAAAGACGTGGGGTTGGAAGACATGCACACACACACACACACACGCAACCTTATTACAACATTGCGCCCTCTCGAAGGAGGGTCCGAATAAATAAGCTAAACTACTTATTACAAATCAATTAATTAACTAATTCTAGCTAATTAATTACAACAAACCAAATAAAGTAACTAATTACACAAATTAGCTAAAATATTACAACACTCGAATAATTAGCTACGCTAACTAATTAAAGCGATAAAATGGCCTCGCAGGCGAGAGAGACATGCAAGCTCGGTTGGCGTCGTCCCGGAAATCTATTGCTTTGTCGTCAATTGCCTCTGTTTTCACTCGCCTTGGTTACTGAATATCGAACCAACCTTCTTACTGCTTCTGCTCCAAAGTAGAACATTTTCTACACAAAATTGGACTGGTGGCCGGTCGGCCACAAAAAGTGGCTGTGGGCCACCTTAACTGGCCGGTCGGCTAGTGAAAGTGGCCGGTTGGCTACTTGAACTGGCCGGTCGGCCACCTGCTTTTCCAGGCTCCTGGTTTTGTTGCAACAGAGAACAACAGAGGCACTGCAATGTATTTTACAGGTAATGTGTGTAGCTTCACTCTCCTTATCATGTCTCAAGCTCAAAAGAGGGTGGCACTCGGCTTTCAAGCCACCAACCAAGCATCTCAATGCATGATGGCCCAAAAACCAAGCTTGTACAAGCTTTATGAATGCACACACAAGACTCAAGAGGCCTCCACCTTATCATGCACAATCAAGGGGGACGACGACCAAGAAATGTGACACGTTTAATCACTTTCAATATGAAACGTCTCACATTTCTTGTGTTTAGATTAACGTCTGATCCAAACACAATGAAATGCAAACAACATGCTTATCTTTCACATGTTTTACTTGTATTCTTGTTTACTCATTTTAGCTTACCAATTAGTCCATTAATCGATTAAGTTCAATGTGCAAAGTCCTCTAGTTTGAAAGACGACCTAAGCTTCGAGTACCTTGAGCATGAAGAAAGTATCACGCTGTTGGTTAGTAGAAATCCTCAAGGGAGGATTAAAACCAGTAGACATGAATGCCTCAAGTTCATGCTCAAGCCAACAAGGGGCTTAAGGCCACTTTCAAGGTCAATGAAAGTTTAAAACAATGGAGTGCAATGACACATATTTCAGCACTGAGATACCATACTAAGTGACTAAAAAAACAATGCGAACAACTTATGTAATGCATGCTCAAGAAGCCAAATACATTAAGCTAGTAATGAGCATCACTCTAGAAGCATGCAATATCAAACTCAAAGGACCAAACCAACTCTGGACAAACCTCGAATATGTCAAAACAGAGGCCAAAACATGCTGAAATGGAAGTCCATGAGGCAATAAAATCATGCTTAAGTATTGGCTCGCAAACAAGGCATAAGGCACAACTCACAAAAGCTATGAACGAGTAGAATATGTGAGAACGTGACTATGCTATATGTGCTGAAATCATGTGAGAAATGAGGCTAAGGCATGCAAACAACTCAAGCAAAGCATGCTAGGAACATTGAAACTCAAAGCTAGTCAAGGGCCTTTACACTACAACCATGCACAACAAGTCTCACATGGCCAAGACCACTCAAAATGGAGCTAAAGCATGGTGAAATATGAACAAAAACATGCTGAGAAGGAGCTAACACTAGCTAAAATGATAGGCTCAAGCATGAAGCATGTTAGGCCAACAAACATGATTGCACTACAAGTACCAAAAACAAGCAAGAGGTGACCGAAACACCAAAAAATAGAGTTAAAGCATGACAAAACAAAGCCAAAAACATGCTTGAGCTAAGTCACCAAAGAGTAGAAAAGCATGCTCAAGTATGAGGCCATCAATACAAGCAAACAAGATACAAGGAGAGGGGATGACCCCCTCCTCTTTTAAGCCTCAAAACCAACTTTCTACCAATAAAATTCCTCTGAGTTTCAGTGGTAGAAAGGCCAAACAAGGGTCATTACAAAGGCTAAAAAAGATGGCTTAAGAGGCTTTACAAGCCAAAGAGCAAAAGAGGGAAAACATCCCCTAACCAAGCAAGACTTAAACCCACATTTTAAAGCCTTAAAATCAGAGTTTTTAAGAGGTTAAAAGCAGCCTTGAAATAGCATGCAAAGGTGGTCAAGCACTTAAACAAAACAAAGCTTAAAAAGGGAATATGCTCACCCTTGAAGGACTGTAGCAAGACAGCAGCTTTTCTGAGCCAAGACCAGCTTTAGGAACTCCAAACAAGCCTTAAGAAATCTCAGCTCCAAGGTCAAGATGTTTGGCTAAGGGGTTGTAGGCAAAATATGTGAAGAACACTCACTTTCCAGCACAATATAGAGAGAAAGGGAGAGAATTCTAAAGAGTGAGTGCAATTTAGACTTTAAATTTTCTGAACCCCAAACAAGGGGGAGGGACCCCTCCTTATATAGAACAAGCAAGCCAAAGCTTTCTTGACAAGCTAGAAGCTTGTTTGAATCCATCCATACATGTGTATGGACGAAACACTCAGTGTGCAACAGCTGGCTCAAAAGATCTGAAAATATCTGAAAAAAGAGAGAATTGGCCGTCGGCCACTTCAAATGGTCGGTAGGTCATTTCAACTAGCCGACCGGACACTTCAAATGGCTGGCAAGGAGAAAAAGTGGCTGACAAATGCCAAAAGTGGCCGGCATGGCCCTTCTCCCCTCCAAGCAAGAGGCACCAAGGTCTGCCCAAAAACAAGGCCAAAACACAGAGGGTTTAGAGGCTCAAAGACACGGTACCCAGCCGAGAACCTCGGGCACTCAAAACGAACACAAACAAGCACAATCATCGCGCACACAAACGATGACGTCTGAGTCTTAAGGTCGGTCAAAACTGGGGTGTCTACAGTTGCCCCTCTTTGATAAAACTCGGAAGTCATAAAATGACGGGAGTGAATGTCAAAGCCCAGATACGACCCATTTTTGGCAAGGCCGAAGACTTAGACAAACAAGCAAGATAACAAAAAAAGATGCGCCCGCAGGCAGGGACGAAATGCAAAAGGCATGCACAATGCAGAACATAACTTATGATCATGCAAAAAGGGCTGTAACGAAGCATTTGAATGCAAGAGTTATGCAAAGAAAACAAGACATTTTAAGCGAACCAACAAGTACAACCATCTCACTCACGAGAAGAAGTAAGTAAATAAACACGGCACAAGCGAGAATCACAAGTCGAATCACATTTCACACAGAAAGGATGTAAGAAAATTATGCAAACTTAACTGCGCCTCACGCAGGAAAGGCAAAAAGCAACAACTGTCGAGTGCACCCCAGACGGTGAACAAGATCCCAACGCGTGGCGCACATGGGGAATGAAGCAATGATAACACGTGAAACACATTCAAATATTATGCGATCAAAGTAAAGAGCGGTATAAGCATCTGAGTTAGTCCGGATGCATTTAACCAAAGCATCCTAATGCACCACACGCGAGAGGGAAAGGGGGGGCGGTGCAAGCACAGGAGGGTGGTATAAACATTGGAGCACATCCTAATGTTTCTTAACCATCAAGGTGGTATAAGCGTCGGGCACACAGTCCAACCGCTTCCAACCGAAACAAGGTATAAGCGTCGAACACACGTCCCAAACGCTTTCAACCAAAGCAAGATATAAGCGTCGGGCACACGCCCCAAACGCTTCCAACCAAAGTGGTGATACAAGCACCAGGACACAACCCAAATGCTTCTAACCAAATGGGGCAAGGTGGTATAGACATCGGGCACACGACCTAATGTCTCTAACCTGCAAGGCGGCATAAGCGTCGGGCACACGGTCCAAACACTTCTAATCGAAAGGGCGGTATAAACATCGGGTCCGCAACCCAATGCTTCTAACCAAAGGGGTGGTATAAACACCGGACGTACCCAAGTGTTTCTAACCAAGGGAGTATAAACATCGAGCGCACGACCCAATGTCTCTAACCGACAAGGTGGTATAAGTGTCGGACACACGGTTCAAACGCTTCTAACCAAAACAAGGAGGTATAAGCGTCGGGCACACGCCCCAAATGCTTCTAACCAAAGCAGAGAGGTATAAGCGTCGGGCATACGCCCCAAAGCTTCTAACCAAAGCAGAGAGGTATAAGCGTCGGGCACACACCCCAAAAGCTTCTAACCAAAGCAGAGAGGTATAAGCATTAGACATACACCCCAAACGCTTCTAACCAAAGCAGAGAGGTATAAGCATCAGGCACACACCCCAAATGCTTCTAACCAAAGTAGAGAGGTATAAGCGTCAGGCACACGCCCCAAACGCTTCTAACTAACGAAATGCGAGAGAGGAATGGTTTTACTCGGGATCCCTCTGAATGAACCATACATACAATATCGTCTGGTTGCGCCAGCTTCAAATGAACCATACATACAATATCTTGCCTGCATAAGAAAGAAGCTTTACAGGTATAATGCAATAAAATGCATGTTCTATGCGAGATTGACAGCATGACACAATGCTTAGCGAGGCATGTTTCATGCACATCATGCAAAGAATGAAACGAAAGCATATTTTATGTGACAAAACATGGAGCACATTCTATGCAATACTGAATGCATGCACAATGCAACAAGCACGGGCAACTTCTATATGAATGTAACGGCATGCGCAATGCAATACAACATGATAGGCATATTCTATGCAGCATAGAAACATGGGTAATGCAATGCGTTGCATCTTACGTATTCTGTGCTCAATGACGACGATGCACATGCAATGCAACATCGATAGCATGCTCAATGTGAAACATCGAATAAAGAAATGCGTGTCTGAAAAAGACCAATTCAGTTGCAAACTCCGATTTACCTCTCAGAGGAGTCACAATGTATTTCAAAAAGGATACACGCCGTGCATGCGGGCTGATGATAAGTCACGCATCGAAGGCATGAGTCGAACTTTTGGGAGACATTGTGAGCTGAAAAGTGGTCTTTTCTTGCACTTTCTCAAGAACCAAGGACTCCTAACAGCCTGAAAACACACAGGGAGTACACTGGAATCCTGCCAGTCACCCTGGAAGCATGCCGGCCACTTGCCATATCTATCGGCCACTTAAGTGGTCGGTTGGCCAGAAAAACTGGCCGGTCGGCTAGTTGCAACAGATTCGGGGCAGTTCGGTCCTTTTGCATTCGGATCTTTAAAAACTCATATCCAAATCACTTTTCGTCACACATACAAAGCCGAAATCCCCTCCTCCTTGCTCCCAAACACTTTTCCTCCTCAGATTCGTGCCCCACACGCGTTTTCCAACGCCTCTTGCGAAGTTGATTCGCAAAAAACTTTTGATTCTCTTCGTTTTGAACCGAACGAAAGTTGTTTTAGGAGTCTTTTCATCTATTTTCACCATTTGATGTTTGTTTCCCCCAATTTTGGCTTGAGTTTGGCACCCTTTTCTCGAGCTTTGACTTTTTTTGACTTTTTTCCTTCCCGAGAGTTGACTTTTGTTGACTTTTGGCATTTTCGCCCCATTTTGCTAATTTTTGCCTTCTTTTCAGATGGCAAACGACGCGCCACATGGCGGAGGTTCTCCAAGGATGGAGGGGGAGCCCGAGCACATTCCATTGCTGCCCAGAGTTCGGCCATTCGACCCCACGACGTATTATCCCGAGGCACATGTGCTACCACTCAGTACAGTCCGCCATTTCACTGGCTTTGCGCGGCGTGCACCCGCGGACCTACTACTAAGGGAGCTGGAGTCCCATTTGTCCCATGATGCCCCAGAGGTACACACCGCACTTTTACATTTTCTGCGATGTACTTTACATTTTTCGCATAGTTCGCACTTCTCGCACTATATTTCATCTGCTCGTTCTGAACACACGTACATACTGTATTCCTGCTCATTATGAACACATTCACACACTGTATTCCTACTCATTTTGAACATAGTCACACACTGTATTTCTGCTCATCCACACAGGTTGACTCCCGTTTCACCCGTGAATATGGGTCAACCACAGTGAGAGAGTGGTACTCGGAGCTTTTTGACAGCGTTCAGCAGATTATTGACGAGGCAGAGTTTGGCTTATTCTGCTCTGGGCTCTCCCATCTTTTCGCGAGTAGAATCGTCTTAGGCACGTTAGTAGAGAGATTGTGGGACACCACCAACTTCTTTCATTTCTCTACCGCCGGGGACATGACGATGAACCCCGTATGATTTCGCGATGCTGACCGGCCTTAAGGTGGAAGGCCAGCCGATCCCATATGACTCCGATATGGGTGAGTAGGAGGCAGCTTGGACTCATCTACTGGGGGCGCACCCATCTATTTATCACTCATCAGGCTTGGTTCGGTACACCTGGTTTACCGACCATTTCAGAGGGATGGAGCCCACGACGATCGAGGAGACAGAGCAATACGCCCGAGGCTTCCTCATGTTCCTCTTCGGCACTACCTTGTTTGCCGACAGAGGGAACACAAGAGGGCTATATTTGTTGAGTGCCTTCGTGGATCTGTCTCAAGTACGGCACTATGATTGGGGGGGCACCAGTCTTGCTACCCTCTACTGCTATACGAGCTGGACCTCCCGCAGGAGCGGAAACATAGTGGACGGCTACTGGAGAGCCTGGGAGGTACACTTTACTATTCAACTTTACATTTTCTGCTATGCTTTCTGCTTTGCATTTTTTGTACACTGCATACTGCACATTGCATAATCTGCTTTCTACTTTGCACCTGTACTTTCTATGCACTGTGCCATACTCTGCTTTCTGTATTTTCTGTATTCTGTATTCTCACTACCGTTGTCTTGCTTTTTCACAGCTATGGGTATATGCCTATTTCCCGACACTTGTTCTTGAGCCCGAGGTTAAGACGCCACCCCAGGTCCCCTATTTATGTCGATACGACGGTAGGTACCAGCCGAGAGCGTGGGAGACCCTCCCATATCTGCGCCAATATTTTGACACCATAAGGGTGACTGAGGTAACTCAAAACGTACAGTTTTTCCTATTTGCGGCTTCACTTCATTTTGCGTATCTACTAGCAACTAATGCACTTGCTGTCTGCAGATTACATGGCAGCCCTGGGCGGTGATGCCAGAGTTCGCTCAATTTCATTTTGCCGGAGCTCGGGGTGCCTCCCGATACCAGATCCTGCTCGAGGGACCCGTAGGCAGAGCCTGGTTCTTGGGTGAGTGCTTCATGCACCAGACATTGGGCTTGCCATTATAGTTAGTTCCTTTGCCACCTCTACCGTCTATACGGGACACATAGAGTTTCTGTCCTCAGGAGCTTATTGACATCATACGAGGCGCAGACACAGACCGATTCATTAAGGATGGGGACTACATGACCTATATCCAGACGTTCCTCATGCCTCCATTAGTAGGCGTTCGTGCTCCCACGGGGAGGATAGCTGATATTGCATCGTCGAGTAGGGCTCGGACAGGTGGCTCTCCCTCGACGAGTAGGGCCCGGGCAGCGGATGCCCTTTCGACGAGCAAGGCTTGGGCACAGAGGGATGAGACTGGAGGGATGCCTTCTACTAGGCAGTGTGTTGGATGACCTGATCCCCCGACTGAGCTAACCAGTTGGCGGATCTCTGGAGTGCCTTATCGGATTCCGCTCGAGCCTCCATTGCTAGATCATTGATATGTTAGGACATCCAGCGCACCACAGGTATATTTTACAGCTTTTATGCATTTCAATTTCACTCAGATCCTTATTCATTCATGCACACATGATCTCAACTTGCATTTGCAGCCTTCTGTAGAGTATGTCGAGGGGTTACTCCAGGAGATGGCCTCATTAGAGAGCATGGTCTCTAGGAGAGAGATGATGCTGAGCTCCCATGTGATTCCGATAATTTTTCAATTTTCTTGCATTTATCATACTTCTGCTGATACACGGAAACTGACACCTCATTGCACTGATGCACTGCATGTATAGATCACATCTGACACATTGCATTCACATACTGTATCAGATTTTTGCACGTACTCACTTTGCATAACATACTTGCATCTGATACAAATATTGTACCTGATGTATTCAAACTACCTTTTTCAGGTCACACCCCTTCAGATAGGACCATCTGAGCCTCCTCCAGTAGTAGGGAGAGAGATTCTGGCACCCAGCTAAAGGAGACGTCGGGAGCCTACCGCACGCGATGATGACGATGAGTCCAGCAAGGGCGAGGAGCTAGGGAGTCCCCAGTCAGAGTCATCTGCGGGTGGGGGCGACGGCACCGGCTCAGGTTCTGAGGGTGGCAGCGATGCTGAGGAGGGCTCTGAGGATGGGAGCGGAGGTGACTCTGGTTTTGGTTCGGGCTCAGATCCAGATGGTGGCGCCGATGGCGATGGTGCAGAGTATGCTCAGCCGAGGAAGAGGATGAAAAGGGCCTCTGAATCCTGAGCTGGGTGGCACCGATTTAGATGCCTTCATTTTCTTTTCTTTTCTTTTTTTCCTTTGTTTTTGATTTGTTTCTCTTTTTGCTAGTAGTGTTAGCACCTTACACAGCCTTAGGCAGTTTTACTTTCTTTAAAACTTGTACTTTTTGTAAAGAGAAACCACGATGGAATGAAAACAGCTTTTTGATATTAAAAAGTGTTGTACTTTTCTATTCTAAGTATCGCATCACACCATTTTGTACAAAAACGGGATTTGATGAAAAGCAAACATTTGTGCATTACAAAGTCAGGTAGTGAACTGACACAACAACTGAAAAAATGAAACAACTCGATAAACAACACAAGGCCTTGACAGGCCAAACAATGTAATCACAACTCGATAAACAAAGTGCAACGACTCAATAAGTAAAACAACAACTCAATGAAAGAAACAAATACAATTCAATAAACAAATTGCAACAACTCAGTAGAGAAATTGAATTGAAATAACTCAACTAAACTACTGAACAAAAGAGCCAGACACATCCAGGGTAAAACAGAGCATAGGTTTTCAGCATCCTCATCACACAGGAAGACCCAAAATCCTTTGCTAGGGGCAGAAAGAGGTTGTCAGCCACTTTTTATTTCTGCCGGCCACTTATTCTCACTGTTGGCCAGTAAAGTGGCCGGTCGGCCAATAAAGGTGGCCAGTCAGCTACTTTAACTGACCGGTCGGCCAGAAATTTTGAGAACCTCCAAATTGCTACCACCTGTCCTCCACTCAGTGCCTTATCTTCTATAAAGGTTCCAGCTTCGTGGTTTCCTCATTTTAACTCCATTTTTGCCTCAAATGGAAGCATTGCTTGCCTAAAACCTCTCTGATTGGCTTACAACTTTGGATGGCTCGGAAAAGTTGAATTTCTGGAGTTTCGAAATAAATGCACTATTCACGCTGAGTCGTACCCCGCTGCGTTTTCTGTTCCTCCATGCTGCGGCTAGATGTTGGAATCTGGTAACTCATGTTTTTAGCTTTGGCGGACAAGAGATATGTTCCACTTTTGAAGATTTCCAGCCTTTGATGGAATCTCGGTGCAATGAAGAGATCTTGCCCCACTTCCGTTTTGGCCACATCTAAGCTTTAGGACAAATGGGTGGGCTTACTTTGCATGACGCTCGGTCTTTGATTCACGACGGGGAGCTAGATATTCCGAGCTTGATTTATTGGTTTTCTGACGCTGGTGACCGCGGCGACCATCTTTGGCAGAGTTTTTGGCGACACGCCCTCTGCTTGTGGATGTTGTCTAATTTCTTGCTTGCCCCAAGCTCCGAAGGGTCTAGCGTCCGTTTGATTGAGGTTGCCCAAGGCTTGAAAGAGGGCAAGAGTTGCATTGGCATGACACTAGCTGAGACTCTGATGGGTTTGGATACTTCCCGTCGCTGGGAGACAACCAGATTCATAAGGAGTCCACTACTCTTACAGGTAATGTTTCCCGCCCTTCTCACATGTGTATTTCTTACATCACTCGGCTCTCAAGGTCTGTTTTTCTCTCAAAACCCTTTCTCACTTTTCTCTCCACGTACACCTCTCTATTCTTTAATCTCTCTTATTTTTCATCCCTCCCCAGATGTGGTTCATGGATAAGTTGAAAGTAGTGGAATCATGCCCAGCATATTCAGCACGCGGTTATTTCTTCTAACAACGACTAGTTGATGCCGTAGATGAGGGATGGTGGTGTGAATAGATGTGTAGCCTATTTGCTGTCGACATTGCTTGGCGCTGCCCCTGGTTTAATCTGTCGGCGATGAGCTACAGCATGTCTCGCCAACCCGGGATTTAGTTGATTAGCCTGACGCACTGTGTCTTTTACTTCCCATTCCGATTCAAGCGTCAGTTTGGCCATGACCAGACTTGCCCGGAATAGGGGATTGAGTACCCAGCTTCATTTCTGATCCAAGGCTCACAACTAGCTCGGTATGCCACAACATGGAGAATAAGAGAACTCCTGGCCCCTGCTCCCACTTTCAGTTGTGCCCTTTCTGGAGAATGCATAGCTTGGCTTGAAGGCGAGGCACAAATCGGGCCTACTTTGGCATCAGAGGCTTCCACAAGCTTTGGGAGGGGGCACAAGAACACCTGACTAGACTATGCCCCCAAGTTTATTGCTTTAATTTGTACTTTCAAGTTTTCTTTCGAATGTAATAAAAAGCAACTTCAATTTATATCGAGAGTAGGAGAACTCTGTATTGAAATCAATGAAATTGAAGGTTGTCGGTACTGAAAATTTTTCGTTTGGTCTAAAAATGGTCTAAGTTACAAAAAGATTAATTTGAACAAAATCAACTTTTATTAAAACTTTTCAAAACCATTTTCGATATGGATCACAACTAGACACGCCCGAGATCTATCACTGAGATGTACAAGCCCAAATCCAGCAACTAAAAAGTTGCCCCTAGTCTGAATAGCACTATACTAGAGATCACAATCGAACTCTTGGATGCAGAGGGGACAAAGATGGCCAGAACGAGCACATGGGTAAAGTTGATTTGGAAGTGTTTATGGTTGGACTTCAGAATGAAGTTGCCTACGTATCCCAAAGATGGGAATCAAGCCTTACGTAGTTCAGTTCAGGTTCACTCATGTATTAACACTCTCCTTTTGCGCTCTAACTTTTGCCAAGGCCGCCCTTTCTGGGTTTTCAACCTTGCGAGCTTAGTTTTTATTATTTCAAATTTTTTGTGCTCTAATTTTTGCCTAGGTCGCCCTTTCAAGTTTTCGGCCTAGCGAGCCACTTAGGGATAGTATTTCTTTAACTTGTCCATGTTGATTGGCTGAGAGAACTCGAGGCCATCTAGGTCCATAAGAACGACAACTCCACCCGACCAGATAGACTTGATGATGTAAGGACTAGTCCAATTAGATTTGAACTTGCCCCTAGGATTGTGGATGGGAGCCCGGTTGTCTTTGAGCACCAAATCCCCTTCTTTCAAATTCCTGGACTTAACCTTCTTATTGAAAGCCCTGGCAATTCTTCGTTGATAACCTTGGACGTGATATAGTGCTTTCAATTTTCTCTCGTCAAATAGCATGAGTTCTTCGAATCTGCCCTGCTGTCAATCTGCCTCAACTATCTGGCACTCAGCCATTACCCGCAATAATGGAACCTCAACTTCGATAGGCAGAACAACCTCCATTCCACAGACCAAGGAATACGGAGTTGCCCCAGTAGAAGTTCGAATTGAAATCCGGTAACCCCAAAGAGCAAATGGCAACTTATCTGGCCAGTTCCTGTAGGTTTCCACCATCTTCTGCAGAATGTGCTTGATGTTCTTGCTGGCGGCCTCAACAACTCCGTTGGTTTGAGGCCGATATGTAGATGACTTATGGAAAGCCACGTTGTACTTCTCTAACAAGTCGATCACCTCCTTCTTGAAGTGGGAACCATTATCCGAAATAATCTCATTCGAGATCCCATAGCGACAGATAATATTGTTCCTGATGAACTTTGCGACGTGCGATGCCTTCAGCACTGCGTAAGATTGGGCCTCAACCCACTTTGTAAAGTAGTCTATCGCCACCAAGATATACTCATGCCCGTTCGACCCCTTCGGAGTAATTGCCCCAATCACATCAATCCCCCAGACTGAAAATGGCCATGGCAAAGTCATGTTGTACAGCTTCGACGACGGAATGTTCATGCGGTTTGCATGGATCTAGCATTTGTGGCATTGCCAAACAAAGCCAATACAATCCTCCTCCATGGTTGACCAGGGATAACCCTGTCTGAGAATCTTTCGAGCCACAACATTACCCCGCTCGTGTGCGCTTCACACTCTTCTCCATGGATGGCTTCCATCAGGCCTTGGATTCTTCAGCATCAACACATAGTTTATGCATCCCAAGATGTCCTCGCTTGGATAGTTTACCCCTACAGGTGATGAACTGAGCAGCCATTCTTCAAATTGCCCTCCTGTCTTTGGCGTTTGCCTCTGGTAGATAAGTCTCCTTTTCCAAGAAGTTCCAGATGTCATGAAACTAGGGGTTTTGATCTTGTACTTCATCTATGGCGGCAATCAGCTCATAGGCCAGCACATACCGATGTTCAATGATGATTGGACACATCCGGACTCCGAAAGGGATATCTATCATAGAAGATAGAGTTGATAAAGCGTCTACAAACCGGTTGCTCTCTCTCAACAGACGGGTGATGGTTAACTTCTCAAACCTGGGAATTAGAACATCTAGAGTTTGGCGAAAGATTTTTATCCTTTCCTCCTTCACCTTCCAGTCTCCTTTAGTTTGAGACATAACTAGGTTCGAGTCCCCCAATGATGTCCAACCTTTTTGCCCCTAGTTCCAGGGCGGCTTCTAAGCCAGCGATACATGCCTCATACTCTACCTCATTGTTCGATACTTTGAACCGAAGTCTGAAAGCTAAGGGTATGTGGGAATTGTCTGGTGCTATCAGCAACACCCCTATTCCATACCCATACTGGTTAGACACTCCGTCAAAGTACATAGTCCAGACCTTTTCTTCAAGCTGCAAAATGGCCTCATTCGAGAACAGATACTCTACTGCTTCATCTCCTTCCACTGGATGATCAGCTAGGAACTCTACTACCGCTCTCCCCTTCACAGACTTGCGCATCATGTACTTCAGATCAAATTCGGAGAGGAGAAGCAACCAACGAGCTAGCCTACCCATAAGTGCTGGTTTCTCAAAGAGATATTTGATGGGATCTAATCTCAAAACCAGTATTAAAGAGTGAGCTAACAGGTAGTGCCTTAACTTCCTGGTAGCGCATACCAAGGCCAGACAAGCCTTCTCCAGCGGAGTATAGCGGGCATCATAATCCGGCATTTTCTTGCTCAGGTAGTAGATAGCCTTCTCCACCTTATCCTCGGATTCTTGCGCAAGCATGCAACCCATTGTTGTGTCGGTCACTGATAGGTACAGAATCAACGATTTCCCTGACTTTGGCGGCGACAACACTGGTGGGTTTTGTAAATATTGCTTGATCTGTTTGAAAGAAACTTGGCATCGATCATCCCATTGGAACTTCTTTCCTTTCTTCAGGAGACCAAGCAGTGGTTCACAAGTCAAGGTTAATTTTGCAATAAACCATCT